CTGCTAGTGTGTCCGATTGTAGTCTTTGTACTGTGGTTGTTTCTTTTCCCCACTGGCGTTATTTCTTTAATTGGCTATTAATGCTGTGATAAAGCAAGCACTAGATTAAAGAATTGTAGAAGAAATTTTCATAAATAGTAAACCATCTAAAAAAGGGAGCAAAAAATATTTATCAATGTTGTGTGTAACATATAATTTTGAGTCTCACAAACCCAGAGAAGGTCATTCGGTGAGGTGACTCAGACGTCTGCTCGAGTTGTGCATTCACATTGAACTTTTCTGCTTGGTAAAACTAGCCTGGTTAGTTTTCCAGGGCAAACAGGAGTCGGTTAAACTAACTGCACGGCTAGGGTAAGTTTTTTGAGAGGTAAAAATTTCCTGTGCTGCACTGGATTATTTATGGTTAAACCAGGGGCGGATTTAGGGGGGCCCCGGCCCCCCCCCCCTTTTGGGAGGAAAAAAAAGAAAGAAAAAGAAAAAAAATGACAGCCCACAACACCTCAAATGTTATTTTGGGGCGTCTAGAACACAAAAACTTCGCGGGTGCATGCCCTCGGACCCCCTAGGTCATTGTTGTCTCGATCGGCCCCCTTTCGGGCGTCCCCTTTTGGACATCTCTGGATCCGCCCCTGGTTAAACTACCCATCGGGTTAGTTAGTCCAGTGCGATTGCAGCTTAAGTAGTCAAACCTCTGTCTACACTATGAAGTTTTGTGCTACAAGTACCAGTGATTTTCCCATATATAAGATAAGATACGCTATAATGTTATACCCAACCAATGGCATACATAAAATTCATTTAGGGGCCATTCACAATTATCAATGTTTTCCCATATATAAGATAAGATACGCTATAATGTTATACCCAACCAATGGCATACATAAGATTCATTTAGGGGCCATTCACGATTATCAATGTTTTCCCAAATGTACAAAAAGTACTCATTTTTGTTACCCACCTCCCTCTGTCTGAAAGTGTACGTAAAAAATGTTGATTTTCTAAAACCATCCTTCATTTTTTTTTTAAGTCAACTGTAGTACTGTACTTAATTTCACTAAAAATGTATATTATATCCATGTTGCATTATAATTGGTCATTAAAATCTATTCTTTAAGAGTGTATAAATATGTCTACCCCCTTCCCCCAGCATACTGTTTGTACACTTGTGAAAATGTTAATTGTGAATGACCTCTTACCTTAATTCAAAAAGTGTTACTCACCTAATATAATAACAGGCTCCCAGTTTGAGCATCTGTCGACTGCTTGACATGTTTTACTACTTTTGACGCCGGGCACTCACGACTGCACCCGATGGTCGTCAGCTGACACGATTCTATAAAGAACATGACGCAACAATGCGCGCGCAGCAGATCATTTTTAATAACGATCCGTTCAGACTACCCCAGACAATCAGCAGACGGCGCCATGTTGTCTGGCATTCACAGGGAGCAGAGTTGGATTCGTTGTGCGACCGTCGTATGACGCAGTGAGTGCCCGGCTTAACTCATCCAACATTTTTGGGGGTTTCGCCACAATTTCAAAAGATTTTAGACAACGCCCAGCCACGCATACTTTGCTTTTGTCGGAGACATCAGACCCCCCGTTGGGCAAATCCTAGCATCAACCATCATACTTAGTAGGCCCTAGCCTACCAAGTCTCTGGACGACCTAACAGGAACCCAGCTTGGCTTAAACTAGCTAGGACTGCTACGAGTCGATGACGTACTGTACGACCAACCGGCGGGGGCGCCCGACCAGCATAGGCTAACATATATTGAAGTAATATAACTGAAAGGCGATGGGAAAAACAGACCCAAAATGAAATGTCAAAAACAAATTTTCATCTACCGTGTCCATAATAATACTAATACTACTTATTAGTAACACATATTAAAATCAGTAGCTATACCTAGGAGGCCTACAAACATTTGTCAAACTTATTGAAATGAAGCAGTCTTGCAATGTGCAAGGCAACTACTCCTACACATCAATAGCCTTATTAAGGCAGTTTGTGTAGTACGTACTGTATTGGACAAGATTTAGACCTACCTAGTAACGTAGAACTTAAATTTGACATTGCAAAGCAAATACAAGCAAGGTGTTGTGCAATGATTCTGTTCTCCCCCAGGTCACCAGTTATGTAATATCAACTTCACAGTCAAACTTTACGCTTCCGGATTGACAAACTGGGCTCAAAGTGTCAACTTCCCTGCAGAGGGCAGTATACACAAAAATAGGTGTGATATCATCAGTCATGCCCACACAAATTTGTCGCATAAAAAGAATAACAAAACTAATGCACATAATTTTCCTATTCCCGATCAATCACTAATTAGATATAATGCCTCCAATTTTATGTGTCTCGTATGCAAAAAGCTCAATGAAAGCTGGGATTCATATTTAGTTGCTAGCCAACTCTGAACGCTCATAGTGGACCTAACGAATCTTGCTCAGATATCATTGCGCATACTATTACTAGTTAATAATTTTCATACTCGTAGTTAATTTGATCACTGAGTAACCGGTCACCGCAACCTTGTAGTTTGATTTAATATATTGCCTAAATAAACTTATATAAAACAGGGTGACTGACTTGTAAAGCAATTATAGTAAAGATATTTCGAACCCAGTATAGAAAAGTATTTCCTTCAAATGTTGCCTTCAACCCTGCGACCTTCAGGCAGTTTTTTCAGTAAATAATAGCTCCTTCCGCCTTTATTTTTTATAGGGTCCTCAGAACTTTACTATAATTGCATAAGTCATAGAACAAAGCTTATACTCCATATATAATTGTTTTATCTTGCAGGCTCTGTTGGAAATGGCAAGAGCAACAAAGAGTGAGAATGCAATGTGGTGAAAGAAAGACAGAAACACAAATGATAGTTATGCAAATCAGATGAAGCGGACACTAAGATGAACATCAGTTATGAAAATGGTCAAACGATTTGTGCAATATATGAGCTACAATGACCGGGCCATTTCTCCCCCAGCCATGTAAAATGACCCATATAAGGCAGCATTAATTCAATGTTTTTCCACCATTAATTTTGTTTTCATTACTACCATTATTTTCTTTGGTGAGTCGCATGATCAGATGGCTGTCTTGTTACACAACCACAGTGTATTTTATAGAAGTGTGATACGGGGTCGGCCACTTAATACGTGCCAATGCGAGTCTTTCATTTCTCTATTGTGTCAGATTAGATGAAAATAGATGAAATCTACTCATACTTTTAATACTATTAATATAAATTTTTCATCTAAAGAATATTTTTTCACAAGTTTTCAAAAGCAGTTAATAACCACCTTCACCTGATGCAGGTAGTATTGTCAACCGGAGGAATTATACTTAATAGATTTATTTGTCATATACATGTACAATACAAATACAATGTTTTCGTGGTATAAAAACACAAACAAAATATACTATGAGTGATACTTTATTTTTAGCACTTGGGTAAATATACAAGTTAACTTTCATTCGGGCAATAGCCCATGGGCTAGTGGAATTTAGGTGTAATGTATTTGACTGGAGAAATTGGATGTTTTATATAGTCAAGTGGTTTAATGGAATTTAGAAACCAGGTTTATTATAATATGAGGAAAGAGCTGTTTCATACTGATAAGTGGCTCTTTGTATTTTATTGTATTTCCACACTATCAAATTTTATGTGACAATAAAATGTAATATGCCATATATAGTCATGATGTGCCTATATATGGTCACGATGTGCCTATATATGGTCATGATGTCATCATTTACATATTTAGGCATGTCATGTTTTTATCAAAGGAAATTTGATAGTCTGGACATGACCTTAACTGTTTTTGTTGGTGTGTTTTTTTTCTTTTCACAAATGCATGCCTGATCATTTTGTAATGGGAAAGTTGGTGTTATGAAGGAGGTCCTAACAACAGCTCAAAGAAACCTGTTAGCGCACAAAAAATAACACTACCATACTACCATACTTCTATGGTGTTGGTTAACTGAAATTTTTAATTATGGAGATTTTATTAACAAGTGGTTTTGGTTAGACATTATTAATACAGTAATTATTATATTTAATTCGTTTATTAACAATTTAATTATCATACTTCTTTTGACATTTTACTATGTTCAGGATCCTATTTTATCTATGAATTAAAAAACAATAATTCACAATCAATCAGCTGTTTGTCTTTTATTAATAGCTTTAATTACTATCATAAATTTCATGATGTCTCTTGATGTTCCAGCTTTAATTATTATATATTTTATGATGGTATTAAATTAATATAACAACGTAATTATAATGGCCTTATTGGTAATAGTAGTGGTAATAAAAAGGGATTGAAAATAAACTATGAATTTTTGTGAAAAATCAAAATGTCCTTCCATTTTTGTAATTTAGGTTTAACCACTTTTTGGAACACAGCCTTATCAAATATACACTGTACATCTGTGTTGACACGGAATAAATCCAATCCAATCCAGTCCCGTAATACATGTAGTTTTTAATCAGTAAACTTGTAAATCCTTCTGAATGAGCAAATTCATTTTGAGGATTTTTTATGGATTTTTCCACAATATGGCTACACTGTGTCTTTTGATGATGGAGTAGATATGCTAAAAATAATAAAGGACATGAGGTTTACCCGAAAACAAGAAAATGAGAACTAACAAAAAATGAATAGGCTGCGGTGGTGAACGTTTCCTATCATTCAACACTATTTCTATCCCTCCTGTTATACTCCTACACCCCTGATTCTTTAATTAATTATTTTAATAATTGATTAATTTGTTTAAAAGGCCAACATTTGTTTTGAGTTCAGCTCAGAGGCCAGAGGTAATATCTGAGTACCGGTAATTAAGCAACTTGTTGGTAATTTCAAATTCTACTTTTTGTTGTGCTACACAACAATATATGGTAAAAAATTCTGCAAAGATTACATAATTATCAATCTGTTCACACCCTAGTTGATTAAAATTATAAGAAATTGCATTCAGTGTATAAGAAACCTTAATATGAACATTTATATAATACGCATATTTATAAAACATAAATTAACATAATGTTCTGATAGATAAACAAATTAAATAAAATTAATTAAAATGAAATATGTTTAACGACATAGGTATGTTATGCAGCCAACAACCGTAACAGATAATTTGAAATAAAGGTAGGTGTAATAATTGTTGAAGAGAATCACTAATGGGCACTGACCTCAAAAGTACAGTAGAAGTACAGAAATAATATTTCCAGAGTTTTTTGTTTAGTTGATGCAGACAAATATGGATATGTAAAACGACTAGGAAATAGGTGTGATATGGAAATTCAAAAAAAAAAAATGTTATAAAGATATCCAGTTTTCTTTCCTCTATTTCTTATGTAAACCTGGATTTAAACTTTTTAAAACATTTCTACAATGTGTCTTTTAGGCTTCATGAGTACTGTTTTGCAAATGCATCAAGAGTCAATTAGTCAATTAATTGAATAATGCTTTCATATCATTGGCACACCTTTAGTGTAGCCTAATACAACTAGAAAATAATTGATAGAGAAAACAATAAATAAAAAAAATAAAAAATATGTTCTCAGCCTTATAAGGTATAATGAACATAACCTGATGAAAAGGAAATACTGTACATCTTTTAGGCAGTGGTTATTGTTGCAGAGGTCAAAATTTAGTCCCAACCACCTGGTTGGAACAAAATTTAAGAAAATTTAAGCCAGGCACTCACTTCTGTAAAGAACGCAATGCGATGATACGTGCGCAACAGATTGTTTTTAATGACGATTAGTTTCAGACTGCCACTGACAATCAGCAGTAGCATCGCGTCATCATCGCTCACAGAGAGCGGAGTTGGATTGTCATGCGACGACCGTCGTACGATGCTGTGAGTGCCTAGCATTAGACTACAGTAAATATGCTTTTTTTTTTATAGCAATGTCCCCTGATGAAATAACTGGTTTCTTTACTAGGGGGTGGGGGTCCTGATCCTTCCTGCACTGCCACTTACTGGTGGAATTATTCGTAATACATGTAGTCTTTAATCAGTAAACTCGTCATTTTGAGAATTTTTTTTCTGGATCTGGATGGTTATACTGTATGTTTTAATGATGGAATAGATATGCTGAAAATAATAAAGGACATGAGGTTTTCCTGAAAATGAGAATATGGAACAGGGGTATATATGCCTTTGAAATCCCAACATTTTCACGTTTTCGAGCTTCCAAGAGATTTTGAACGACACTAGACCACGCTAACTTGTGCTCTCGTCAGGAACATCGGACACCACCCCTGACATGGAACCTCATAAGGAATTTGAAAAAACAACTATTAAAGTGATAGATTTCACAGAAATGAGGAAATATAAAGCAGGGAAACTAATAGGGAATTTGAAAACACAGAAATCACTGAGGCATAAGATTAACAGGAATTAGAATAGCATAACAGGAAAAAAAACAAGGATAATAAGCTCAAATTACATTGTATCAGGGCATGATCAGGGAAACATAAAAAACAGGGGATATAATGAGAGAATAAAACACGGAAATAAGGAAATGATAGGACTATGTACACTATATGTTATCCTTATTAGGTGCACTCATTATAAAGTACCAAATAAGTCAACTTCAAGTCTTTTTTTTTTCAGGTTTTTTTTTTTAAGCTCATTACAGACAATGCATAGTAAACTCTCTCCACACTCTAGTTTTGTGACATATTTATGTGGATTTGCCATAAATGGGCATGATGATATATCACATCCATATACTGTATAGGCTTTATGATGTCATATTATACCCATATAAGGGCAATTACATCACATCAAATTTTGCTTTTGTGAAAAAAATGATATGTTGCACTAATGAATATTCTAAAAAGAAAAAAAAATGTTCTGATATGTTGTACTGTACAACTAATTTTTGTAAGGCACAAAAAGCACATTTGACAAAAAAATTGGGAACCGTTAAATGAGATACAGATTTTTGAATGTTTAAAAACAGGGGGTGGGGGAAATGAACACGCATTTTTCCACCTTTTTCCTCCAGTTCATAAATATTTAAAAATATGTATCTCATTAACTGTATTTTTGGTTTATGTATCTCATTAACTAAATTTCAATTTGTTTAATTTTTTGCTTCTCCTACACGGACTTGTAGAAGAACAACTCTAGTTGAAACAAGTTTTTCCGTGTTAAAATAAAGCTTATTATTATAACTGTTCCCGAGTTCTTCGTCACATGCTTTTTGTGTCTTAGAAGAAACAGTTGTACAACGTATCAAATTTTTTTTCCCTCAGGAGCCTGAATTGTACTAATAGTAATACCCTTTTTTTAATATTTAAAAATGTCTACCCTAGTAGCTGTTCTAAAATATTCTTGAAAACCTTCAATGTCTTAGATTATTCACTTGTACAAAATATCAAAATATTTATCCCCCCAAAAATGATGATTTATGGAAATCTTCTGAAACAGTTTAATTTCTTTTATTCACATTTTTAAAAATGTCTTTAAATAAACTTGTCTAGAACTGCTGCTAGCCACCAGTTAGGTCAAAAAGCTGCATTCACAGCAAATACAAGCTGAGGATTTTTATATTTTCAAAATTAATGTCAGGATTAATGTGGCCTGACTAACATAAAATTATATAAATAAGCAGGAGTTTCACTTTAAAAGTTATACAATATGCACATTTTTGCCAAATTACTGAATATTATCTAAGCTTTATTGATTCGATTATAACTCACAGAATTTTAAAACTGGTACCAAATGTACAGTATAAGAAGTCGACAATAACATACGCTGAATGACTATAAAATGAGGAGGAATATTTGTATTTTGTGTTTAACTGGTTATTCAAATTCCGTAATTTTATCATGTCACAACACCACATCTCAGCAAAGGCAGGATTATTATTGTCTTTTCCTATCCCTATTGTTTACTTCAAATTTAAAATTATATTTTCTACATGAGGGATTATCTGCAGCATATTCATTTCCATAAATTTGTTTCTTTAAAGATCCCTTACAGAAGTTATTAGTTACACAATTCATTTTAAACCTGCAATTCTCCTACAAATATAAACATCCTTAAAGCTCTGGAATCTTGATTGGGTGTAAACTAAGCACATGGTGACATTTAAATCAATGCATAATTTGCACTGAGTGATCAGTAGTGCATTCATAATTATTATGTCACCTAGGAAAACAGCCAGCGACACATTAAGCCGGACCCTCACTGTGCCACTACGATTCTATGAAGAATGCAACGTGATGACACATGCACAACGGATCGATTTTAATGACGATCTGTTTAGATTGTCAGCGGCAATCAGCAGACGGAGTCGCATCATCAAGAGCTCACAGGGAGTGGAGTTTGATTCACCGTGCGACTGTCGTACGATTTAGTGAGTGCACTTGCACTTTGAATCAAGCATTATACAGTACTGCCCACCCAGTTAAATTTACGTCTTTGTTTCTTCATCGTCTGTATCTACAACAGATGATTTTTCATGAAGTAATACATACTCCCTGGAGCTGTATCCGAATTTGACAACGTCCTTTTCAAACAGTTCAACATACCGCTGTGGTTCTATCTTGTTATTGTTTACCACTGTGCCGTTGGATGAGTTCAGATCTATGACAAACGGTTTGACACGTCTACCCATGCTGCCGTCCACGCGTTCGTAACTCACAAGTCTAAATTGCAATGCAGCATGTTGCTTCGAACACGAAGGATGGTCAATTGGAATGTCGGCAACGACTCTATCTCTACCAAATAAATACGCACTTTGTCGATGAATGTGAAGTACAGGTAACTGCTCCTGACCTTTAAATACATATAAACGCCACTTTTTCTTAGGTTTCCGAGCTTCAGGAGGCTCATTGTATTTAATCACCACCCCCCTAAATGTATTCGTTTCTTCCGCAAGTTTTCCGGACAACTTAAAATCCGGTCCTTTTTTTGGTTGGTTAGTGTCATTTATATCATTAACTTCAGCTGACGTTCCTGGGTTTCCATATTCGTAATTTTCAGAGGTTTGGAATGGATTTGTTGGCTTGCGTTTATGATCTCTCCTCCTCCTCTCGTCATTCACATCTCTTTCTTGCTTAATTGTCACAGGAAAGTGTTCATTATCACCATCTGAAAATCTATTAACCCTTCTCTTCCTATCACCATTGTCTGTTCGTGTATCTCTGCTGACAGGTCTTCGTTCCTTTCGCCTTGGAGAAGTACTGTGCTCTCTGTGCCATTCATATTTTTCTTCATCATGGTGTCGTATCTGAAATTAAAATTTTATACAGTTGTAGAAGATAATTTGGACAAATAAATGAGATTGAGAGGCAAAATATTTGGATAAAAACTCATCACTACATTATATTAACAAAATTACACTAAAAAATATGTTTGCTCACTATATCACCTGTTAATATTTAGGCTTAAAAAAGGAGAATCAGTAGTCCTAGCAACTAATTTTATTTATATACTACTTTTATAACTGTTTATAGCATTAGGCACATAGAAAAAAATTATTAGATTATTAATTTTTTTCGTTCCCGCATCAATATTTCCCAAATTTTTTACACGGGAGGGAGTGATAATCTAACAATTTTTTTCTATGTGCCATTAAAGATCTATTTTCCCCAAAAAATAACAAAAAAATCATAACAAATAATTTTGAAGTTTACTGTAACTTCCTCATTTTGCAGTAACACTAGACTGTAAAGTAAGGCCTACACGGGGAATATATCCTGCCACGCAAAAATTTGGCCTAGAAATCCATCCAATTATTTCGGAAAATAAGGGCCAATTCCGCAGATTCTTTGACCTAATCTTAATATATAAACAATGTATTAATTAGGCCACGGGAATGAAAGTTGTAGGTTTGCGTCCACCGCCCGCATGCCTAAAAAGCTACCGCACGAAAATGTTCATTATTTTGAAAAGTTCATTATTTTGAAAAAAAATATACTTCGTTTTAAAAAACGGACTTTCTAAGTCGTAAACAGACAGAAAAACGATCTATTCTTCACTGATCACTCATCGCGAACACCAAGCGAAGGCAGGCCTGGCCACATTGCACCATGATCGCCAATCACTGCTGAGGTCATTTACGGGTCAAATCGATCTTTCTGACCAATAGGAAATCTCGTATGTTTAAAGAGGTCTTAAATGAAGAAAAGGATCTGTTTTATAGGCTAGTGTACATTTATGACTGTAAGCATTGTTTCTTGGGAATAAATGTAAAATTACCAATGCCGCAGCTTGTGGACAGCATTTATAAAAAAAAATAATGAAAAATGAAAAAATGCCTCATGTGTTTTCAAAATTTTTCGGACGCAAACCTACAACTTTCATTCTCGTGGCCTTATGCAATATTTACTATTCTGTGCACCTACATTATTTTCCTAGCAAATTTCTGCACAAATTTGAGCTGGAGTTTGAGGTATCATCTGCACAATAAAACAACTTTACAGTATGGCAGTAACATAATATTAACTTGAGTGTAGAAATTAATATTGAATTTAAAAAATGTGAAGGCCTAGGCCTACCCTGATTTTTATACTGGATAATGAAAATAAAAATAATTGAACACTTTCTTTTCAGTGACTTGAAGTGTTTCTATCATTTTTCGCTGTAAAATTAGCCTAGGCCTATGTTATGGTTATGCCTACGGGTAAACATATTTTAAATAGGCCTACACTAATTTCTATGTATGGTTGATTTTTTTTTTTTGATTTTTTTTTTTGTAATTGTATTTTGCATGGGACAATACATCTTTAATAATAATCATACAGCTGCAACCATTTATCTAGCAACTGCAATATTATCTCTAAAACGAAGTTTGCCCACCTTGTGTTTTCTAGGCCGATGGTGGCTTTCACGTTCATCTCTGACAGGGCTTGGGGAGCGTGAATGCGAGCGTCTTGATGGGGATGATCGTTTCTTGTGTTTCTTGTGATGTTTGTGCCTGTGATGGTGGTGAGGTGAATGATCGCGATGATGAACTTTACTGGACATCCTTAAGACTGACCACTTATAACTCACTAATAAATTAGGTATTTTGTATATCTTAGAGTGAAGTTATGAATTATTTTGTAGTACTAGCTAGGCCAACCCTTCGAAACTCCGACGATCCATCCAACTCCATTTTTAAGTTGCATGATGGGATATCAGAGAGACACGGTGTGAACTGTGAAATATTTATTATATTTCAAAAACTACGATATTATTTAAATTGTAGGATTATGGATGCATGTGTAGATTTATTTTTTTTTTCGTTATTTTTACGAGTAGATAGGTAGCATTGATAATAATGAATAACAAACCGACGAGAGAGAGATCAGAGGTCATGGGATGGGAATGACCTTAGGCCTCCCTGCTGCCTCCTGTAGCCTGTTTGCTCGCCTGTAGAAAAACAATAAAGAACTGGTAGGTAGCCTAGCTAGGCCAAGCTGGTATGTCAGGTGGTTTATTCTTTAAAAGTAGAGTCTTGTAAGCAGTTGTTGCTATAATATTTTCTCAGACTGTGTATAATACAACATTATTATAATTAATATATTCATATATTAATACATAGCCTGAAAAAACGTGGGATGAAATGATTTCTCTATTTTTTTTTTCCATTGGTGGGATCTAGGCCTAGGCCTAGTTAGGGTGCTGCATTCAAATTGTTTTTCTATTATTACGTTCGAAATACATTAATATTTGCATTAGTATGTGGGTTCTGGCTATTTAAAAAAAAAGTTATCATTGTTGGTAACTAATATGTTGTCTTTTGGGCGCTAATGCACTTTATTTAGTACTTCACTCTAGGCCTAGGCCTAACCCTAACCTTTTAACAATAACATAACATAGGCCTAGATAGCAAGACTGAAGTTGCGGTTAAGGTAGGGTTAGAGTGGAGCACTAATGTCAGTGTTCTCCCAACTGAAAAATTTTTACTGGTAAATTTGTCCATAAAAAATTGCAATGCGCACAATGTGAGGTACGTTACCCCTTTTTAGTTGGGTTAAATGACTTGAAGACACAACAACACATATTCATAGTGTAGATATAGACTGGAATGATGTTAATTGG